TACATTTTGTACCTGTTAGTGGTTATTAGTGGTTACAGTATTTATTTATCTCATCACTGTCTTGTTGAAAGATTCTGGATAGACCGAACAGAACCACGAATATTATTTTCAGAAAATAAGAGATTTTTATAACCCAGATTTCAATTCTCAGTTGGTGTGCATTTGTCAACAATCAGTTTGTAAGAATTAATTTGTGAAGAATCATTTAGGAGAGATCGAATGCCAATTCTCAAGCTTTCTTTACAGTTTGTAAGTCAATGATCAGCGCTGCAGAATATGTTGGCGCTTTTCTAAATACCAATAATAAATAATAAAAATAAATAAATGCTGCATGTGAATTTGTAGTGACACCCACTAAGTACAGGGCCTTTGAAAAAATTTGAACATCTATCCATGAAAGGGAATGCTACTAACTACTGTAGGGCCTTTAAAGGAGTAAAAATACAGAAGATTCCTAAAAGTATGTACCCAGTACCGTTGGTACTGGCAGTTGAAAATCACAGACCGCACATTTAATATTAACCAAACTTGTGGTATACTTTAGCCTGCTGGATAGTAACTGCTCTCTGATGATTTAAAGCCTCAAGCGGCACCTTGAGGATGGGTGTGATAGTAACTGCATAAATGTCATAGCCGAAAGCTACGATGTGTATGAGCTGCTGAGAAAGGAGTGGTGGGATAGTAAGTGCAGTCCTTCTACTTTCTTGCCTGAATCTGCTCCTTTAGAGCAATTGTGATGGTAACTGAACTATTTGTAGTTTATAGCCTCAAGCTACCAGATGGATAAGAGTGGTAGTAGTTGGACTGACTGCTACAACTATTCATATATTCTCCGAATTCCATGATCAAAGGTCATAGTTATAGAAAATATGTGCTTCAATGCTATATTAATAGTAGCACTGCCTAATTTTCTGACCAGAAATGTGGGAATTATTTATAAAACCGTATTAATTTATATTCAATATTATTCTTGTGTTAGTATCCATTGTTGTGTTAAATTTATGTATGTTGTAATGGTCTTATACATCAATCATTCAACAAAAAAGTTCTATGGTGCAGACATTTTTTGTTAGCTGCCTCCATCCCCAAAGTTAGGTAAATGTTCTTCACATGGAAACCATTTTCTTGGTTTGAAGACCATGGTTTTTTGCTCTATGTAAACTCCTCCGGGGGCCCTACACATTCTAATTGTGAATTCCCCCGAGGCCCCCTGTTTACAGATTGAGGCCCCCTGTGGTTGTGCTGCCTAATTATTGGGTTATCCAGGGCAGCATCTGGAAGAGTCCTCTGAGGAGAGACAGAGATGTGTTCAATGCTTCTCTTTCTGAAGCAGGTTCATCATGACACACTATCCTTCATCCATCTGTCCTTACCTGCTACGGGATTGATGTCAGAATCTAATGTGTTTCTATTGTTTTAAAAGCTGAGATTTAAATATAATTTGATGCCAACTAGACCATTACTATGGAAATTAAAAACTGTGAGTTTTATACCTTTTTTCAATAGTTTTATAGTTCTGGAAACCTTGCCTTCAGGGTTACATAGTGATTTATGATACAAAGGATAAGAACCCTCTTGTTCTCCACCAGTTGTTGAGGGCTCTGACACCCTGACACACTTGCTGCTCAACCATCATCATGGGCATTGCGTGCGACCTCAGCAGTTGACTGACTGTCTAATTTTGCCCTCATGGATTTTTAAATTTTTTCTATAAAAAATATGCTGAAATGCAAAAAAGAAAAAAGAGAAAATACAATGAATGAAGAACATAAAAAATGTATCTGACTGTTTAAATACCGAGGGTGATATTTTAGATTTATTTATAGTTAGTGTGCATATTTGTTTTCATGATATGACCTTTTAAATTTGTATATGTACGCTGCGTGACTTACATTTTTTAGAACAGAATTTCTATTTGTACATGGGCAAATGACAAATGCGTGTTGCACATTTTGAACAAAGTCAACAGAAGTCAAAAAAGATCAACAATATCGTGAATACTCCAAAATGAGGACTAGGAGGAATTGAATCTTATCCCATTGGAATATGGGAACATTAAGCAACAGGAGAGAAGACGGGAAAGAAACCATTGTTAGAAATATAGGGAATAACATGACATCAACTTGTAGTTTAGAAATTACATATCTTATGAAGACAACCTTTATGTTTAAAAAAAGTTATACTGGTACCTTGTCTCACACCAACTAATGCTTATTTATCAGCTTGGAAGTGTGGTAGTTCATTCCTCTCTACAGATCTTCTTGGAGTTCAGGTCACTGAAATGCCATAATATTTTAATTAGGTTCAGGTCACTGCTAGGCCATTTCAAATGGTCTTCATGGTGTCAGCCTTTTGGTTGTAAATTTACATGTGTTTAGGATCATTGTCATGCTGCGTGACCCGCATTCTGTTAAGCATCTTCTCTTTGATGAATACCATCCTGCTTTAGAATTTGGTCAGTGCTATATGGAATTCATTATTCCCTAGGTTCTTTGATTGGAATGCAGTATTTTAGATTTTTGCCTAATATAACATTTATAGTACATGGTGAAACTATTATTATTATTTAATATTTATATTGTGCCAGCAAATAACGTAGCGCTGTACAGTGAAATATTCTACATTCCTTACTGCCCCCTCAACCATCAAGAATGTCTCCGGCAAACAGGATAATAGTAGCAATGTTCCCTTTAAAGAAATTAGTTTAAGTTAGCCTCATTTTGAAGCTGATACATTTAGAAGTATATATATATATATATATACCCTATATACTCGAGTATAAGCCAAGTTTTTCTGCACATTTTTTGTGCTGAAAAAGCCCCACTCGGCTTATACTCAAGTCAAGGTCTGTATTACGGCAACTTATATTGCCATAATACATACCAGGACCGCCGGGCTCATTACAAGCGGTCCTGTTGGGGGCCGGAACAAGCTGTTACTTACCTTTTTACCAGCTCCGGTCAGCTCCGTTCAGCTACCCAGTTCAGCTCACACTGTACGTCTCGCGAGAACCGCTGCCGTCAGAGCAACGCTCCGCCCGGCACGCAGACCGCGAGACTTACACTGTGAGCTGAACTGGGGAGCTGACCGGAGCTGCTAAAAAGGTAAGTAACAGCTTGCTCCGGTCCCCCTCTGCACAGCCCATGCCACTGGACCACCAGGGAATTACATAGCCCCTTCCCTAGCCAGGCAACAAGCAGGGAGGGGGGACAAATAAAAATAATAATAAATTATTAAAATAATAAAAATATTAAAATAAAATAAAAAATATATAATAATAATAAACATGCCCTTCCCACAACCAGTTTACACACACTACACAAATACACACATACATCATATACACACACTCTGCATTCACACATACACTGCATTCATTATATATACACACACACTGCATTCATACAAACACGCACTCTGCATTATATACACACACTACACACAAACACACACACTGCATTCATTATATACACACTGCATTCATTATATATGCACACTACACACAAACACACACACTGCATTCATTATATATGCACAGTACACAAACACACACACACACACTGCATTCATTATATATATACACACACTGCATTCATTATATATACACACTAAATAAATATTCAATTAATGTAATTTTATTGGGATCTGATTTTATTTAGAAATTTACCAGTAGCTGCTGCATTTCCCACCCTAGTCTTATACTCGAGTCAATACGTTTTCCCAGTTTTTTGTGGTAAAATTAGGGGCCTCGGCTTATATTCGGGTCGACTTATACTCGAGTATATAGGGAATATATATATATATTTTTTTTCCAACCAAAACAATAAATAAAGGATTGTTATGTTCATTGACGCCATGAAAAAGTAACAAAAAGGCACTTAACACTCCCTTTAAAATGGGCCATACATCATGTACATGGGGGGTACAGTTTTACTTGGGCAACTTCGCTGAAAAAAAATATTAGTGTTTCAAAACAGTAAAATGTATTACAACAATGATATCATCAGTAAAAATGGCACTTACACTGACAATATATTGTTTGTGATATGTTTTACGGTTTTGAAACACTAATATTTGTGTTCAGCGAAGTCTCCTGAGTATAACAGTACCCGTCATGTACAGGTTTTATGGTGTTTTAAAAAGTTACAGAGTCAAATATAAGGCTTGTGTTTTAGTTTTTTCACATTGAAATTTGCCAGCTTGGTTGTGTTGCCTTTGAGACTATATGGTAGCCCAGGAATGAGAATTTTTTTAAATTATTTTTTTTTTCAACAAAAACAATAAATAATGGATTGTTATGTTCATTGACTCCATGAAAAAGTAACAAAAAGGCACTTAACACTCCCTTGAAAATGGTCCGCTTTACCTAAAATCTATGCCATTTTTCAGAACTATAACTACTCCAAGAGGCAAATACAATTATCATGCTTCTTAATGATTTCAAATACACGTAGAATAATATCAATTAAATATATACATAATTATAATTATATATAAAATAAATAAATATATAAAAACATTAAAAATAAAAAATAATAAAAATAAATATTTAAAAAATATATGTGTGCAATTTTGTTCTAACTGTATTTTGAGATATATATATATATATATATATATATATATATATATATATATATATATATATATATATATATATATATATATATATATAAATATAAATATATGTATATCAAATTACATTTAGAACGAAATATATCTATCTATATACATAAATATGTATAAATCACTATATATATATATATATATATATATATATATATATACTTGTATATAAATAAAAATAATAAAAATATATATATATTTTAATTCTATGTATATATTTATGTAATATTTTTACATAATTAAGTCATTTTATTAATTACAATTTGCGGGACCTGCCTGATAACCCTGGCAGAAAGTCCAGAGAATTTAATTTGCTAGCACTATATTTAACCCTGTAACTTTCCAAGACACCATAAATCCTGTACATGGGGGGTACAGTTTTACTCAGGAGACTTCGCCGAAAACAAATATTAGTGTTTCAAAACAGTAAAATGTATTACAACAATATCATCAGTAAAAATGGCACTTACACTGACAATATAATTGTTGTGATATGTTTTACGGTTTTGAAACTCTAATATTTGTGTTCAGCGAAGTCTCCTGAGCATAACAGTACCCACCATGTACAGGTTTTATGGTGTTTTCAAAAGTTACAGAGTCAAATATAAGGCTTGTGTTTTTGTTTTTTCACATTGAAATTCATCAGATTGGTTGCGTTGCCTTTGAGACTGTTTGGAAGCCCAGGAATGAGAATTACCCCCATGATGGCATACCACTTGCAAAAGTAGACAACCCAAGGTATTGCAAATGGGGTATGTCCAGTCTTTTTTAGTAGCCATTTAGTCACAAACACTGGCCAAAATTGGCATTCTTATTAGTTTATTGCATTTTTCACACACAAACAAATATTAACGCTAACTTTGGCCAGTGTTTGTGACTAGGTGGCTACTAAAAAAGACTGGACATACCCAATTTGCAATACCTTGGGTTGTTTACTATTGCAAATGGTATGCCATCATGGGGGCAATTCTCATTACTGGGCTACCAAACGGTCTTAAAGACAACGTAACCAATCTGTCAAATTTCAATGTGAAAAAATCACATATATCTTATTCATATTAAATTATGTTTCATAGCTAAATATTTGATATTAAACGAAAGCCCTCTTTCTCCTGAATAAAATTATATATAATAAGTGTGGGTGCACCTAAAGGGACACTCCAGGCACCCAGACAACTTCTGCCCATTGGAGTGGTCTGGGTGCCAACTCCCACTACTCTTAACCCTGCAAGTGTAATTATTGCAGTTTTTTATAAAATGCAATAATTACCTTGCAGGGTTAACTCCACCTCTAGATTTTTCTACTAGACAGCCACTAGAGGGCACTTCCTGGTTTCTAGCACAGGAAACCTGTGCTAGAGCGTCGCTGGACTTCCTCACACTGTGAGGACCTCCAGCGTCGCTCATTTCCCCATAGGAAAGCATTGAAAAGCATTTTCAATGCTTTCCTATGGGGAGCTCTAATGTGCATTAGGTCTCCCCGGCCGGTGGGCGGGATCAGTCTCGCCCACCGGCCGATGCAATGCAGAGGAGGAGCGGCGGTGGAGGAAGAAGCAGCAACGTGGGACATCGTTGCTGCTTCTGGTAAGTTACTGAAGGGGTTTTCACCCTATCAGCAACCGGGGATTGGGGGTGGGAGGGAGAGGGGACCTCCAGTGCCAGGAAAACTGATTGTTTTCCTGGCACTGGAGTTTCCCTTTTATATGAAAGAGGTGAATTACGGTTGAACAGACTTATAGTCAAATTCCAAGTTTTGTTTACATTTTATATTGGGCAAAATGTGTACATTTGGCTTAGTCCTTAAGGGGTTAACCTAAGCGCATTGGTATCTTATTCTTTTACACTATTTTGTTAACTATGTTACCTTGTTTTTGCTTCTTTATATGGAGTTGAGCAATTCCCAATTCTGTAATAACCATCAGCTCTGTGCTGATGCTGCCGGGTTAAAATTTATTTTAGAAGATGCCACAAAACGGCTCTATATAGTTCCTTTAATGATAAAATTATATAACATTGGGACTTAAAAGCAATTAAATAACATTCTCTGTGTTCTATCTGTGTGAATAGTTCAGATGCTGTCATATCTCAAAATCAGAAATCTGATCCCCAGCAAACTCAACCTTTCACCCTCCTGAAATTAATAACATGAGTACCATCAGCGGCATTGCTAGGTTCTAGAAAGATCTTGGGCCCAAACGGCCATATGATGACTCTGACACTAACAAAGAGTCATAACCTATTCCACCTTGTCTCTACCCATGAATTGCATACTGATGGTGTCCTCTAGGATCTCACATAGCCAGGTATTCAATGAGATCCCACCATTTTACCTAATAAATGGAGTGTGCACAGCAAAGTTCTGTTCACCAGCACCCACTTCAGTGAGCCACTTGAGGGGGTGGGGGGAGAGGGGCATCCTTTAAGTAGCCAGGTCATACTGATCTTTCTTTTTATAATAGGGAACTGTAGAGATCCAGGTTAAAGAGTCAGATATCCAGGGCTACAGCCCCCAAATAACACCCCTAATAGTGCGTATGAGTACCATTAAGTGGGATATAACAGCATCTAGACCCCAACACATGTTTGGAAATCATGGATACACTAAATGTCACTGATTAAATATTTGATATTATCATTAATATCTCTGTTTTTCTTATTTTTTCTATTCAACAGTACATCAAGATTCCTTCTCCCATCTCTGGCTCAGAGGACCGTGTTCAAATCTTTTCCTTCTACCTCTCTAGAGAGAGTAAAGATAAACCTCAATCAAGCTTTGAGTGCATTCGGCAGGGCACCTTATGGTAAGCAGTGTTCATTTCTGCTACGTTATGAGGTTAAAGAGACCATCATGAAGGCATGTGGATACCCTGTTACATTGAGGGCATGTGAATGTCCATTGCCTTGGGAAGTTTGATTTCTATCTTGGAACTCTAGGGTTTATAGTGTAGTGAGTGGAGCATTACAGCCCCCACAGTATACAAAGTGTTAACATTACCTTTGCAAATCACAGTATGCAGTCAGCAGAGAACATAAAGTACAAACTTGATAAAGTGCAGTTGTATAAATAGTGATATGAAGAAAGCGCTGCCAAATGGACGGAATTAGCTCTCTCAATTATAAGTGCTAAACATGTATTATGTTATATTAAATACTACACTATAAGTGTTCTTGTATTGTGTTTTCTCTCTTTTTTTCTCCCATATAAACGATATGCAAGTGTTTTATCTATACAGTAAACATATTATAAAATTGCACTTTAGTGTGGTAACATTAGATAGTAGTTTAATTTTGTGCCAGAGATATTTTCTCTGATAAACATTAGAGAAGGTACCCCAGAGATGATGGGTAGGATTGTTTAGAATTCATGATTCCTGGATTTAGTCTGTTTGTGTTTTCCTGACCCCCCCACACCATCCAAGATTTTATGGATTTCAATGTGTTAAAGGACCACTATGGGCACCCAGACCACTTCAGCTTAAAGGACCACTATAGTGCCAGGAAAACATACTCGTTTTCCTGGCACTATAGTGCCCTGAGGGTGCCCCCACCCTCAGGGTCCCCCTCCCACCAGGCTCTGGGGAGAGGAAGGGGTTAAACACTTACCTTTCTCCAGCGCCGGGCGGGGAGCTTTTCTCCTCCTCTCCTCCTTCCTAGCGACGTCATCGGCTGAATGCGCATGCGCGGCAGGAGCCGCGCGCGCATTCAGCCAGTCTCATAGGAAAGCATTCAGAATGCTTTCCTATGGACGCTGGCGTCTTCTCACTGTGATTTTCACAGTGAGAAGCATGCAAGCGCCTCTAGCAGCTGTCAATGAGACAGCCATTAGAGGCTTTAGAGGCTGGATTAACCCTCAGTGTAAACATAGCAGTTTCTCTGAAACTGCTATGTTTATAAAAAAAAGGGTTAATCCTATCTGGACCTGGCACCCAGACCACTTCATTAAGCTGAAGTGGTCTGGGTGCAGGGCCGTCTTTAATAACGAATGGACCCTGGGCAAGTGTTTGCTTGGGCCCCCTGTGCCCTGCCGCTCTCGCCCCTCACTCCCTGGTATGCAATCACGGCATCCATCCCAACGCAGTGGCGGTACTAAAGTAGAATGAATTTTATTGGGACCCCCAATTGCAAGGTTGGACTAAAGGTAGAACCCCATCTGTCGTGCAACTCCAACAATGCTTTGACAGCTGGGACTCTACCAATTTCCCATGCTTGCAGGGTTGTATTTAGCACTGAGCCATGTTAGTATGTTTGAATGTAAGCATGTGTTTGTATGGAGTATGTTTGTGTGAATGTGTTTGTATGTGGTACTGGAGTTTGAATGCAAGTGTGCATTTATGTGTAGTGTTTGTTTTTGAATGTAGGAGTGTGCTTGTATGTAGTGTTGACGTTTCAATGCAGGAGTGTGTTTTATATGTAGTGTTGAAGTTTGAATGGAGGGGTGTATTTGTATTTAAAGTTGCGGCTCAGATGCACAGGTACACACTCTGACGCACAAGCAGATACACAGATACATACACTGACTACATACAGATAAACAGGCACATACACTGACAGACACACTGACACAGGTACATATATTGACACACACACAGACACATACACTGGTAGACGTACTGACAGACATACTGACACAGGCACATATACAGACATACTGACACACAGACACATATACCGACATACTGACACACACACACAGACACATACACTGATCAACATACTGACACACATACACTGACAGAAATACTGACACCCACACACTGACAGATATACTGACACCCACATACACTGAGAAATACTGACACACACAGGCACATACACTGACACACACAGACTGATATACTGACACACACACACACAGACATACTGGCACACAGACAGATATACTGACACATGCATACACATGCACTAACAGACATACTGACGCTGACAGACATACTGACACATACACATACTGACACACACAGATATACACACACACATATATACTGACACACAGACAGACAGACATACTGACACACACACACAGACATACTGACACACACACACACATACACTAACACACACACACATACACTAACACACACACATACACTAACACACAAACACACACACACTAACACACACATACACTAACACACACTAACACACACATACACTAACACACATACATACACTAACACACACATACACAACACACACAAACACACACATACATACAAACACACACATACACACATTTTTTTTTTAAAAATGTAATCCCCCCAGCCTCCTTACCTTTTGGAGTGCTGGGGGGATTCCCTGGGGTCCAGTGGTGCTGCTGGGCTCCTGGGCGGGTGGCCGGTCGGCAGGAAGGCGGGCGCGCGAGGGAGCACTCACTGCTTCCTCTTCAGCTCCCTCGCGCGCCGCGTAGGGATGCCGGCGCCGGAAGATGACGTCATCTTCCGGCTCCGGCATCAGTGCGGTGCGCGAGGGAGCTGAAGAGGAAGCAGTGAGTGCTCCCTCGCGCGCCCGCCTTCCTGCCTGACCGGCCACCCGCCCGCCGGGGTCAGCGGGGCCCACGGGGCAGGTGCCTCGGGCCCCCCAAGAGAAACTGGGCCCGGGGCAACTGCCCCGTTTGCCCCGCGTTAAAGACGGCCCTGTCTGGGTGCCTATAGTGGTCCTTTAATGGAGTGGTCTGGGTGCCTGGTCCAGCTAGGGTTAACCCTTTTTTTTTTTTATAAACATAGCAGTTTCAGAGAAACTGCTATGTTTATAAATAGGTTAATCCAGCCTCTAGTGGCTGTCTCTTGACAGCCGCTAGAGGCGCTTGCGTGCTTCTTACTGTGAAAATCATAGTGAGAAGACGCAAGCGTCCATAGGAAAGCATTATGAATGCTTTCCTATGAGACTGGCTGAATGCGCGCGCAGCTCCTGCCACGCACGCGCATTCAGCCGAAGAGGAGGAGAGGAGGCGGA